TGGTCGATTCTAAATCGAGTGATTTTTCCAATTCCCTCTAAAATGCTCCAAAAACATTATTTTCTTCCAAAACATTTTTGAACCTTTAAATATGCTTAAAAGTTTTATAACACTATAAATAGTAGTAAAAACATCAATATACGATGAATAAAAACGGGTCAAAGTCATGGTATAGCAAGTTGAGAGTACGACATGGAAGAGGAGATGAGCATGACTTCACGACTCATGACGGTTATGGAGTTTTTGGGGAAAGAGATCGTTGACAAGATTGAAAGCTACAACCGTGAAATTGCAGAAGTGAATCAGAGATTGAATCACGTTGGGGATTTGCTCTCGAGTCATCTTCTCAAATTAGCTTTTCACATAGAAAGGAAAAGTGGAGTTTGTCATTACGTTGTATAACAATGAAACATTAAAATAAGAAATGCCTTTTAATTAGAATTATAAGATAATGAGAGAAAAGTATGTTTCAAAAAGTAGATGGTAAGTGGAAAGTGCCTTTTTATGTTATTGAAAATATAAAATGTGTTTTGAAGTAATTCTTGCTGACTTGGTATGTAAATTAATTTTTCTTACAAATATGTCATGTATATAATATTTTAAATATATATATATATATATAGATTTTTATAAAAGTGTTTTTTTAGAAAATGGAAACGTTTATAATTTTTTTAACAGCATATAAATGTTTATTATTTAGCAATATTATAAAAATTTATTTATATAATAAATTTTAAATCTTATAAAAAGATATATTCGTTAGTTTTTTGATAAATAAAAAAGAGTAGTCAACTCTATTAAAATAGAGTCCTATTTAAATTTTACTGTGGCATAATAATTTTTAGACCTATTCAAACAAGTTGTGACTATTAATTACACGAGCTTTAAAATGATTAATATACAAGTCTATTAATTTTATTTAATTAATATTTTTTCTTATCTCTTTACTAATATCATCGCCGCCGTCGTTCGCATCTTCTTCCTGTCTTTCTCATTTTCCCCAGATCTATTAAATTGAGATTTTTCATGTAGATTGATCTAAAGATTGTTAACGATTGAACTAGAGATGAATATGCACTGTGATTTTGTGTGTTTGTGATTCTAAGAGCATCCACATTGGTGAACCCCATGGGGGTTCACCAAAAAAAAAATTGATTTTTTAATTTTTTTGTTTTTGTTTTTAAAAAAGAAAAAAAAAATTCGGACAAGTGGGGTACCGCCACGTGGCGAAACCCATGTGAACCAGGTTCACCATCATGAACTTTTGAGGAAGAGGTTCACCAAAATAATATTATTTTAATATTTTTTTTTTTTGGGAAAGGGGTGAAGTCTCCCTAAGAGCCTCCAATGGAGATGCTCTAAGAATTGGGTTTACGAGTTGTTCAGTTGAAGTCATGAGTATTGGTTTGAGATGAGTAAGGATCGATCTAAATATCAAAATTGGTGATTAACGATTGCTTTTAGAGGTGTTTTAGAGATGGGAATCTTAGAAAATAAGAATGTCTTGCAACCCAGGAAGAATACACGAAACACGGAGTCGGAGGAGCTTACATCAACCTCAAGGTCAAGGGTCAGGTAAATTCCTTTTGTGTTAAGATTTTGGTTTTCTATTTAATGTCGTGTGTAAGTGCAATTAGTGTTTTGTACAACCTGTATCCGTGTTTGGTGTTAGTGGGTCTTGCCTTTATGTTTAAGATTTGAAACCCATTGATATATGTGAAACCTGAGCAGAGTATTTTCTTTTTGTTTACAAGTTTGCTTGACTTTGCTAATTCTTTATCAAATTTCTGAAACCTTACCTATTCTTTTAGCTCTAAGTTTTTGTAAAGCTGTTGGTTGTTGTTCATGTTCAAAGGTTTGTACATCTTTACAAGGATAAAGTAAAACTTTTTGATGTTCATACGATTGTAGACTATGATGTAAAATAAAGATGAATCCTTTTTGAGTATGTGACAACTTTCATTGTGAACATGAGTAGCAATCTAATGAATTATCTAGATACATACTTGCTGATGCATATGCAGTCCATTTCCGAATAGTTTCCCGTAGAATTTTTTTTTTAAATAGTTTGTGCTCCACTTTATGATTTTTACAATTATAGTCTTTTTTATTGTCTCTTGGCAATGTATTGATGTCAAGATCAGGCTCATGTTGTTTCTTTTTCTAGAACTGTGTGCTTTATGTTTGCAGGATAGAAAGGAAGTGTTTTTTAGGATCAAGAGAAGTACCCAGCTGAAGAAGCTGATGAATGCTTATGATTTCAGAGAGCATAAACAATGCAGACAGATCAAACATGTTTTCCAGTACTACAGAGAAATTAGTGAAGGGCATTTGAAGTCCTTCAAAGATATATGCGGTTATGCTTATAATCAAGTCTCATGCTCCTCTAAAGAATAAGCTTCTCGCTACTGATTCTCCTCAGCGGAAAAGATCAAACAAGTTTATGTATGAAGAAAAGCAATGTCACGGGAATGGAGTTGTCTCAGGGATACAACACTTATAGTATTGTGGCAGCTAATTCAGAAGTAGAAGTCTGTAATTTCAGCGAAATCAATATTACATGATCGATTCATGGCAGCTAAAAATGTCAAAAGTTTTGCTACATAATATAAAATTTATTGTTCAGTTAAACCACCATAAACTATAGTATAAAACAATGTTTTTATATTGAACACTTTATAGTTATTTTTTTATTAATCAAATAAATACATAAAATATTTATATGTATATTAGTAAATAATACAATATATTATAATCTTATGCTAGAAAAATGTACTGACGCCTAAATAATTAACTAAATTAAAACATTATTTTTTATAATTTAAAGGTTAAATTGTTATTAGTTTCAAAATAAAAAATACTTGTGCACAACACAGACCCAACTCTAAATAGTGAAAATGTAACCGAAAACATAGCTATCTAATAAAATCGAAAACTTCCTATCTCTTTTCAGATCCACACATTCGAATTGAACACATAATTTTATCGGGTTCCTAACATTAGTATTCGAACCAATCCAAAAATTCTAATAACTAAACTATAATCACACCTAAATTCATAAATAACCAAATGGTTATTATATTTCTTGAACTAAAAACAAAAATTCACAATTCGACCAATAACAAACAGAAAACCAAAAAAATACAATGTGGACACTCACAAACCAAAGCTTATTAAATATCATCAAATCATAAAATTTAAATTTTGAAAATAAATTATAATTATAAATATAAAAATTTATGCGCATCCGCGAAGGTCAGAAATCCTTAATAGATAAAATGGGTACCTGGTTGGGTTTATTTTGTTATGTGACACTTTTTATGAGGAAGGTTATGTGACTCTTTGATAATTAGAGTCCGATTGGTGTCTAGGCTTTGAAGGCTTTATGGTTGTGTAAAGTCACTAAAGCCAAATACTTGCCATTCACTTCTTTTAGGCTTTAGAAATTTGTAAAGTCATAAAAGCCCACTCTAAGAAAAAACAGTTGTTTTGTTCTTTTTTTCTACAGCCACTTTTTGAGACTTTACAACACACTCTTTTACTTTAATGCTAAAAACGTGCTTTATTTTATTTTTTCACTTTTTGCTCATTTCTTACTAAAATAAAAGAAACAATAAATATAATGATTAATAAATTCATTTTCATTAGCTAGTTTAAGTTTAACAATAAAAAAATCATACATTACTATTAATAGACTATTAGTTTGTTAAAGACTAAAAAGTATTGTATAAATAATTGAAAACATTTAGGAAAGATTCAAAAAGTATAACAGTTGAAAGAAAAAATAAATACAATGATTTATAAATTCATTTTCATTAGTTAGTATAAGTTTTACCATAAAAAAATTCATACCTTACTAGTAATACCTTACTATTAATAGACTAGTAATTTTTTAAAGACTAAAAAATTTTGTATAAATAATTGATAACATTTATGAAAGATTCAAAAAGTATAACAATTGAAAGAAAAAATAAATACAGTGATTTATAAATTCATTTTCATTAGTTAAACTAGGTTTTACCATATAAAAAGTCATACTTTACTATTAATAGATTATTAATTTGTTAAAACCTAAAAATATTGTAGAAATAATTGATAATATTGCGAAGGATTCAAAAAAAAACCAAATGCTATTTTAAGATGATTACTTTAGTATAAATACAAGAAGAAAAATCATTTTCATCAAACACACAAAACCAACAGGTACTAATTCTATTAATTTTTCTAATCAATATATATATATATATATATATAAATTTTTCATTGTTGTGTTTAATTAGTTTAAATACGATGGACCAGGATCTCAGTTCAAGACAATACATGGGAGGCGTTCGAGATGATATTGCAAACATCATATGGGCTAGAATCCGTTAATATTTTAATATTTTTTTATTTTATTTAATAAATTGTAATTTTATTTTAAAATAATTTTTATTTATTTAATAAATTATTATCTTATTTTTAAATTTAATAAAGAAAATTTGTTGATTACAATTGTAAATTTTTACAATAAAAAAATAAAATATATTGTTAGTAAATTTGATTAATTCTGTTTTTAAACTACTTAATATATTTTATGGACTTGTACAAATAAAAAATAAATAATACATTTTGAAAAATAAATTATAAAAATATATTTATAATAGTCACAGCTTCTAAAGCTTTGAATACTAATCAGGCTTTTAACATTTTTCAAAAATAAGCATTTAAAGTCAAAATCTCTACAACCACAATTCTAAGAGCATCTCCATTGGAGGCTCTTAGGGAGAGTTCTCCGAAGAAAAAAAAAATTAAAATAATATTATTTTGGTGAACCTCTTCCTCAAAAGTTCATGGTGGTGAACCTGGTTCACATGGAGTTCGCCACGTGGCGGTACCCCATTTGTCCGAATTTTTTTTTTTTCTTTTTTAAAAACAAAAACAAAAAAATTAAAAAATCAATTTTTTTTTTTTTGGTGAACAATGCGGATGCTCTAAAGTCAAAGCGTAAAGTGAAAACCATGGTCAGAGCAAAAGCATTTTCGAGAAACACAGAGATTGCGAAAATGGAGACGTCGTCACTTGTACTTCCTATCATCGATATTTCTTTGCCGGACAAAATCTCCACCGCACAATTGATCCGTAAGGTTCGTCTTCATCTTCGTCTCTCCCTCTCTCTCTCTGTTTCCACAAGAGTAGAAACTCTGCTTCTTTATATACTAATAGCTCTTCTTGGTTCAATTTTTGGTTTGTAAAATGGTGAAATTGAGGTGATCAGATTATGTTCATTTGAGAGTTGAGACAATTTTCTCTTCTTAATTCTAAACTGTTTTGATGTTCTTGTCTGTAATAAGGCATGTGTTGAACATGGATTCTTCTATGTCAAGAACCATGGCATCTCTGAAGAATTGATGAAAGGGACTTTTAGGGAGAGTAAAAGCTTCTTTGATCTCCCGCTAGAGGAGAAGATGTCTTTACTCCGTCACGATCTTCTTGGTTATACTCCACTCTATGCTGAGAAACTCGACCCGTCCTTGACCTCCTCCACAGGTCATTTTGCATTATATGGCTTCATTTCTTGCTGAGTTCATCTAAAGATTTGTTATTAGCTTTCTTTTTTCTCTTGTGTTAGGTGATTCGAAGGAAAGTTTTTATCTTGGATCTTTGGAAGGAACTCTGGCTCAGCGTTATCCAAATCAGTGGCCTCCTGATGGTAATATATTTCTTACTACCTGTTTCTCTGTTTTCATTTAACGGTTTCTGTCTCTCACGGGTTATGTGTCTGTGTGTAAAAAGATCTCTTGCCATCATGGAGGCAAACCATGGAATGTTACTACAAGAATGTTCTGTAAGCATGTATTTCTTCTGCAAAGTGAATCTTAAACAAAGACTGTGTTCTTTTGTTTAAAAAATAAAGTTGAATATAGGTTTGAAGTTAATGATATCGACACAAATAGGCTGGTTACTAATATAACAATATTAGGTGTCTGTTGTGTTCTTGATATATCTTGAGTTTTTTCTTTCTAGTTGTGCCTGATATATTGCTTTGCTGCCTCTAAGGTCCGTTGGTCAAAAGTTGCTCGGCTTGATTGCCTTGGCATTGGATTTAGATGAGGGTTTCTTCAAACAAAACGGAGCCTTGAATGATCCTACAGCAGTTGTTCGTCTCTTACGCTATCCAGGTATCTCTATCTACATTGCTATGGATTATAGGTGAAGTGATCAGTGGAAAGATAGATAATCTCCCATATTCAGGGAGTTCTTTTGATCTCTAAACTTGCTATTGTTTATATAGGTGAAGTGATTTTGTCGGATGGAGAAACATATGGTGCCTCAGCTCACTCGGATTACGGGATGGTCACTCTTCTTCTAACTGATGGGGTCCCAGGACTTCAGGTAAAACATTTCTAAATTTCTATTGTAACTCTCTCCTCATACTCTTCTCTTTTGAGTAGCCTTGTGTTCTTACACATGTGTCAGGTTTGTAGAGACAAATCTAAACAACCACGTGTTTGGGAAGATGTACCGGGGCTTAGAGGGTAAGTCTAGCTTTTAGCTACTGGATTTTGAGAGTCCGTTGATTATTAACAATTGTTTAAATGCGAGGAACACTAGGGCGTTTATTGTCAACATTGGTGATATGATGGAGAGATGGACCAATGGATTGTTCCGGTAGGCTAAACTCACTTTTCTAGTAAGGAATTGAGTTTGGTTTCTGGCTCTGTCTGAATAAAAACGTTATGTGATTTCGTGTATTGGGTTTAGGTCTACACTGCACAGAGTGATGCCTGTTGGAAAAGAACGTTACTCGGTAGCTTACTTGTTTCTTTCACATTATTCGATGGTAATTGGTAAAGATTAACTCATATAAGTATGAAGTTTTTTTTATGTAGGTGGTATTCTTCTTAGATCCCAATCCAGATTGTAACGTGGAATGTCTGGAAAGTTGTTGCAGCGAAACTTGTCCCCCAAGGTGTGTAAGAAAACTTGACGTTTGTTAAAACCTTTTAGTCCTGGAAGGATGAAAGAACAAGACTTGAGTCCTTTCATATGAATTGTTCAAAAAAAAAACAAAAAAAAATGTCCTTTCACATGACTTGGTTTCTTTTCGGTGCAGATTCCCGCCTATCCTCGCCGGCGACTATATTAAGGAGCGTTTCAGGTTAACCTACGACTCTTAGTTCTAGTCTGTGTGCTTCGTTTTTTTTTTTGCTTGTTACGAAATGTAATAAAGTATTCAACATATAACGCATGAATTTATGGTAGGAAATGATATTTTAAAAAGTTTGATTCTATGAGGTGAATTTTATAAGTTCTTGTTTGTTGGCATACGATACAGAAGTGTATTATCTCGATTATACCGTGTATCAGTGCTCTTTTTTTTTTTTCCCGCCAGCAGCAATGGAACAACATTGGACAAACCAGTTCGCATCAAGAATACCTTATATCTCTGGTGGGAGAAAGGTAGTTGAAGCGGTGCATATCAGATCATGTGAGATAAAATTAGATCAAATAGTTTATTACTCCCTCCGTTTCATTTTATTTGTCATTCTAGGTTTTTACACACAGATTAAGGAAATATTTAATTTTACATATTATCAAGATAAAAACACAATTAACTATACACTTAACCACTTTTCAACCAATAGAAAATTAGAATATTATATAAAACTAATAAATTTTGCCTCGAAACTTTAAAACGACACTTAATTTGTGACAAAAAAATAAGTCTAGAATGTCATATATTTTGAAATGGAGGGAGTATAGTTTAAAAAAAAGAAGCAGTTTAAAATAAAGTAAATTATATATTTAAATAATAAAAATTACAATAAAACATATAATAGAAAAATGCATTACATATGTAATTTTAAAATCAAATATGAAAGCATTAGTAATTTACTTTATACATATATCTAATATATATCTAAATCGAATTACTATATATTTACATAACACATCTTATATATTAAAACATAAGTCACAACCTTAATTCATGTGATATTTTATAAAATGGACTATCTCTTAAAAGATTTATTAAAGAAAAAACTACTATGATAGCACTAAAAAAGTTTTTTTGTCACAAATATAGCACTTAAGAATAAAATTTACAAAAATAGTACTTAATGTTTTATCAAAAGAGATAAATATACATATATATCCCAATGATAAATTAATTTAGAAATTATGATTTAGAGTTAAGGAGTGGAATTTAGGGTTTAGGGTTTAGGGTTTAGAGTTTCGGGTTTAGGGTTTAGAATTTAGGTTTTAGGGTTTAGAGTGGGAGAGCGGAGTTTTAGGGTTTAGAGTTGAAGAGCGGAGTTTTAGGGATAAGATTTCAATTTTTGAAAAATAAAATTTTTTAAAAATTTTCAAAAGATAAAATGCTATTTTGGTCATTTTAGTTTTTGAATGCTATTATTGCGACATAAACTTAGAAATGTGCTATTTTGGAGGTTTGCCCTTTATTAAATGTGATTTTTTAAGCTAACATATATCTAAATAAACATTCTTTAGTATTTTGATTTCTTGCTTCATCTTCGTCTTCCTTAACATATAGATTTATTGCTTCGTCTTCAAGTTCGTCGTTGTGAGAATCTTTGGATTAGGTTTTGATATGTTTGGGACTTGAGTATTTTCCGCCCAGATCTGATAATACTATTGCGTTTGTTTCTCAGCGTTCCTGAATCTATATGTTAACGAATACGAATTATATCTACGAACTCATCGTTTCTCCTCTTTTGGATCGATTATGTATGACAAGCTTAAAAAAGAAGTTGCAGAACAAAAAAGGCTAAGCCGAGATGAAACTTAAGCAATATTAAAAACCTGGAATAGCAGTCTCATAGTTTTATGATATATTGATGACGATCAGTGAAAAATCTATTTCCTTTTTTCTCACAGTTTGCGAACTTCACATAAACAACACTCCTGAAACGGAGGCTTCTTTCCAACCGGTAGCTCTCATGGAAATTAGTTTTTAGTACAAGACTCCTTTAAGTCTCGTGGAGCCAAGTCAGAAAATTGGGGAAAACTCACGTACCACTGTTATGTATAGAGCTCTTGCATTAAATCCTTAAATGTTTTGTAACCAAACTGACTTTTGTTTGTGCTTCTGAACCGTGTAAAACAAGTGTATGCTTCCGGTTTACATCGCAAACCGCTCCCACCACCATCATAGGTTATAGAACAATGAAAATGCTGTTAGAGCAGTGTCAAATTCAGCAACAGAAACTGCAGAAAAAGTGAGAAATCTCTTATGAGATATTTCTTTCGATGAAAAACATTTGTTACGTGCTCTGCTTTTTGTCTTGCTGAAACTTCTTAATGGCTTTTTCGCTACTGCTCTGGTTTATCATTGGACATTCATGTTATATAATGTTGGGTCATAAATGAATTGCCTCTTTGGTTTAGCATATGCAGATAATCTGAAAAAGAAGCTGAAAATGGGTAAAGAGTTGGTTTGGTGCTGTAGATAAGCCTCAAATCCAGACCAAAACAAAAAAGAGAAGAACATGTATAAGGATTCCTAAACTATCTTCTTCACATATATTTTCAGATTATTATCAGTTTTCGTTCTTCAGTATCATAAAGCAAATGAATTGTTATTAATTTATTTATCATGCCTTTGATGAATTGAAAACTGACACTGACAAAGCCAATAAGATAAGGAAGCAGTTAAAAAAGGTTGCTCTTGATTCAAACAACACCGGACGACAGGGGTTAACGACGAAGTTTCCTGTTGCTCACACTATTAATCTGAGCCAAAATCACAATCCTTTATAACTGCATGAAATTTATGGGATACCACTGATATTCATATTCCAATTGGATCAGGAATAGCCTTGCTAAACTGGGATGCACGTTCATTGTGACCAGGCTCATCTTTGTTTATTATCAAATAAGATATTAATATTGTTAAATTTCATGAAAATAAGAATGTATTACTAAATTTTTAAATTATTTATTCTTATTACTCATAATTTGAAATAGGTTTTCTAAAATATTTTATCTAAATAATATATGAGTTAAATATGAAATAACTTGCATATTTGTTGAAGTAAATATATTTTAATTAATCTAATATTCAAACGCAAACCCAAAAAAATAAATATATAATAAACAGCTCCAAAACTAAGTGACGCATGGAATTGGTTTTAGAATGATAAACATGTAAACTATAAAATTAAGAAAATGAAAAAAATATATATACATCTGAAAATATCATTAGTGTTTAGAAGATAGTATATTATCACTAATGATGTAAAAACAAAATTTTGACATATATATATATATATATATATATATATATATATATATATATATATATATATATATATCAAAACAAACATCCGCACGGTTGCGCGGATCAAGATCTAGTTACAATTAAAAACACACACATCATAATATCGTATAAATAATTTAAATAAATGTACAAATTTATATGACGAAAGTAAAAAGAGAGCTAAGAAAATAGATAATGAAAGTTCTTGTAAGTAAAGCTATATGAAATAAACGATTTATAGAAGAAGATTAATTCATAGTTGGGCAATTCTCTTAAGTAATCTCTTCACAAGTTGTTGTCACAAAACTAGGTCTCATAGAGGAACATGGCCAAAAGAAATTTTGTTAAAGAAAAAATATATTATTTACCGTTGCTTTACAGATATATAAATACAAATAAAACTGAATATTTCTAATAATTTTGAATCATATGTTTTCAATTTTGTAACTTTTTATTTTATTTTTTAATTTTTTTTTCAAAATTATTTTCTTCAAATTTTCTTTTTGAAATTCTTCTATGCTTTTCGAAATTTCAAATTCAAACTTTTTTCTTCAAAATTTCTTTTCGAAATTTTAATATGCATTTTGAAAAAAATTTAAATTTTACACTTATCTCCAAAATCTCACCTCTTAACTATAAAGTATTTTTACACTTCAATAAAACCTCTTTTGATATTTTCTTCATTGACAGCTATTTTGTGAAAATAAAGTAAAAATGACTAACATAAAGAACTTTTCTTTATTGTTTGTAATAAAATCATTTAATAGTAAAAACAAAAAAGTTTTGATGTTTTAATAGGAGCACGGAAAACCAGATCCAGTCTCCCCTTCATTCGTAGTTAGAGGCTTTTATTTGGGCAATGAAATTTATGAAGAACTTGCGGTAGTTTCATGTAACTTTTGCGATATATTCTTCTCAATTAGTGAAGATAGTTTCAGAACCAGATGAATGATGTTGGAGTCAAAATCGGTATGACGGAATCAATGACCAGAACTTTCCGCAAAAATAAAAATACGTTTTATAAAATCCGCGGAAAACTTGGAGATTGTTTTCTCAAAAAAAAGTACGAAACAACTTCCGATTACATGATTGCCCAAGTTAAGCAAAAAACCACATCCGCCGTAAACTGCGAGCAGGTTCTACCGAACCAGTTCAGCGTACGACGAGCCAACCCAGCCGGTTCAGTTCGCCATACCGGTTCAGCTCGCCGTACGGCGAGGTGAACCAACCCGGTTCGGCTCGTCGTACGTCGAGCTGACCGTCCCGAGCCTTGATCTCCCGTATCCTTGACGTGAGGCATACGACCTTCAATTCGATCATACCTAAACCATGATCGAAACGTCTCTCGTTTCATCTCGATCCGTCACACCATCCGAGTTTTACGATAAAAATCGTAAAAGTCTTCTTTTCTCGTAAGAATTCGGGAAAGTCGTATAAAACGGCAACGATTAGACGAAAAATCGTACATTGTCAAACTATATGATTAACTCGAGAAATCTTATAGAAACGGCATCGTATCAGGAAACGATCTCGTCTAAAATCGGAAAACGATTTTTATCGCAAAACAGCTCGAACAGTCCTAAAACACGATAAAAGTCCACTTGCGACTTTAAAAAAAGTCCATCCCAAAGATGCAATGAAGGTTTAACGATTTACTCGCAGAAAGAAGATAAATGCCAAGTTTGAAGATAAATAGAAGATTTCTGCAAGGAAAATGGAAAGATCGAGATAAATGGAAGATTCTCGATAAACTCGAATCTGGGTGAAAAGGAAGGACTAAACCGCCTAAGGAGGGAGTATATAAGTAGAAGGCAAATGACAGAAAAGGAGGACGAGTTTTCCAGAGCTTTTACCACCAAAACTTAGCATTTAGGCAACTTTCCGTTTTTGTTATCGAGCTGCGTCTCCACTAGGGTTTTAGTCTTAGATTGCTAGAACTAGGAATCTCGCCGACGGCTCATGCAGCTAAGGCTTACTCATGGTGTACCGTTCTTACGCAAATTCAGAATAGACTCCTTCTTGCTCTCAATCTCATTTTTTTATCATCTTTTACTTATCCATATCGTGTTCTTGATAGCTTGTGTCCGGTTCCGCAGATAGCTGGGTCCTCTGGGAAATTAGGGTTTACTCTAAATTCCTAAATTTACGTAAAATCAACATAGGTGAATTTCGGTTCCCGCAGTTTGGCGCTAGAAGGAGGGGGGGGGGTCGGATTTATCTTACACTCAAGCCGCAGCACGCTCGATCAAGAACGATGACAGAAGAACAACCAGCTCGTGTCGATAGCGACAACGTTGACAATACACCAGCTCCAGATGTGTCTGCGGTTAACACCAACGCTAACACTAAGGCTGTCGAGAAGATGCTCTCCGATTTCAACAAGAAATGGGAAGAGCAAGAAAAGCCCATTGGTTCACCCGCAAAACAGGTTGAAACCTTAACTGCAAAAACCAGGGCAATTCGACCCCGCGGAACTACTAGGGTCCGCGGAAGAAGGCTTAATTTCGAGACTCCTATGGATCGCCCCAGAACAGAGAAGGGGAATCTGCCGGAGCAAAACTCCGAAAAAGATAACCCTGACGCGACGCTGAACGAATCTGACAAATTTCCTACTCGCAGACAGAAGACCGAAGAAGAGGGTGTCGAAAGAGTTAATCTGGAAACGAGCGAACAATCTGTTCCATCGGATGAGGACGTAGACGTCCATCAAGGAGAAGGAAGGATCGCAGCCCTCAGCCTGAATCCTCTCCCGAGCGTTCTCTTACTGAGACGAGGAGGAGCTCTACTGTGTGCAACGCGCAAAAACGGCCGAGGAACGATCTCGAGTTACTCGCAGCAAACACCGACGAGGTCGGAAAAATGCTGCGATCTAACTGAGATTCGCGATCTCAGCAACTACATCACTAAAACGGCCACAGCGGTAAAAGCGGTGAAGTCTCAAATTCACCATGTTACCAACGCTGCACCCGAAATATATCGGCTGCTATACAAATCTCGGAAAATGCCTTTCACTGCTCGCATCATTGAGGTCAAGCTACCCGATCCTGGAAAACTCAGAGTGCCAACCAATGACGGGACGACCGATCCCAAAGCGCACCTGCAGGCATTCCACATCACCAGGAGACGAGCCAAGCTCAAGGATCAAGAAAAAAACGCGGGCTACTGCCGTATTTTCGTCGAAAATCTAGAAGGATCAGCGCTCGAGTGGTTTACCAAGCTTAAGCGGAATTCGATCGGGAGTTTCCGCCAGCTTGCGTCCGAATTCCTGAACCAATACTCGATGTTCATAAATCGGGAAACTTCTGATGCCGACCTCTGGAGCTTATGCCAGAAAGAAGACAAACCTCTCCGCGACTTCATGAGCAAGTTCAAACTTATCATGGCTAGGGTTAGCGGAATAAGCGACATAGCCGCCATCGTTGCGCTCAGAAAATCGCTCTGATTCAAGTCAAAGTTTCGAAAGTGGATAACTCTCGAAAAACCGCGAAAGATCCTGGACGCGCTCCTCTAAGCTACCGGTTACATAACCATCAAAGAGGAGACTAAAATCCTGTCTGAAAAGCATAAGCCGGCAAAGACGTCCGCAAAGGACATCGTGTCTAAGAAAAAGCCGAAAAAGAAAAACCCTCGTAACTTCAAATTCGTCCATCACGATGGACATGATCTCCAAGGGGCGCACAACTACGCCATCAATTCCGGATCGGAACAAGGACGAACTACGGGGAACACATGATCAAGGAATGCCAATTACGACGAAAATTCCTTCTGCGATCTCCACCAAACTCGCGGACACTCTACCGTGAACTGCAAAGTTCTCTCGTAAAGTTGCTCGCGGGAGAACTCTCCGAGATATCCATCGTGAAGGACCTTATCGGCGATT